TATATATTTAAAGTGTTAAACATAAAAAAAGCGATAGTTACAGTATTTCTTAAGGGCTACCGCACCCCCCCACCTGCTCCCACACCAATGTGTGTGTGTGTATATATATATATATATATATATATATATATATATATATATATATATATATATATATATATATATATATATACATATACATATATACATATATATATATATATATATATATATATATATATATATATATATATATATATATATATATATATATATATATATATATATATATATATATATATATATATATATATATATATATATATATATATTAAATGAAGTTACAAGCATTTTTGTTGCTTTTTCCGTGCATTAATTGGACACCATTATCACGTTGAACCTTTATAAGTATCTCAAAATGACTATGTGGCATAGCAAGATGCAATGCCATTTCATATGCAGTGCGCATTAACTTTAAGATTGCTTCAAAAGTTGATGCTTTTTTTGGGGTTATCGGTATCCGTTATAGGATACCGATATACCCAATATCGGTATCCTATAACGGATACCGATATTGGGTATATCGGTATCCTATAACGAATATACCCAATATCGGTATCCGTTATAGGATACCGATATTGGGTATATCCGTTATAGGATATACCCAATATCGGTATATTGGGTATATCCTATAACGGATATACCCAATATACCGATATAATTATACTCTGAGATTCATTTATTTTAACTATAGAAGGAGAGTTACTAACTTCCTCCAATCGCGCAGCCTCTTTATGTGCCTTTGTTGATAAATGCCTCATAACCTGTAATATAGGTATAATAAGTAAGATTACATCGTAATGTATAGCTATATATTTTTTACCTTTATAATGTACTATATATTATAAATATTAAACCTGATCAGGTGTTACAACATTTGTTCCATTTGTAAAAGCATTTAAAGAATTACTAGCAATCCCCAATATTGAAGTGTGAATGCTGTTTTTATGTTTAGCGCACAGTTTGCACCAGATTTTAACAACAGTTTCTATATGGTTTTGTAATACTCATTTCTCTACTCTCTCTCGACTTATTCTAACCTGATTATTCTGAGTCAAGTCTCGCCTTTTATTACGTTGAAATTATTCAATTGCATAATTTTGTAATTACGAAAGAAGTTTAAAATAATTGCATTGCTTAAAATAATTGCCTTGCTTCTGTAATTATTGTTACAAAAACAGCTCCCTCGGGACAATTACTTTTAACACTAGTTCATAATGTCAATTAATAATTGCAAAACAAAATGTTAATTAATGATTGCAAAAACTTTTGCGCTTCCTTGTGTATCAATAAATTTAAACATTTAAATGTACTTATGAAACGATTAAAAACATAAATTTAAAAATTGTTTATAAGTCTAGCGTGAATTTTTAAGTATTATCGACTGATAAAAGTCGTAAACAAATTTTACATTACAAGGTCTTTTCATTTTCATTAAATTTATATAAACTATAATCTTTTTCTTTTTCCTTGTTTTGTAATGATTTGATTTTTCATAGCTGAATTAACTAGCACTCTAAAAAATAAGAAAAAATAAATAAAGGAAATATAGGTAAATCTTTGTTTTATTAATATTCAATACTTTTTTAATTTTAAAGCACAAACAGATTTCTGTTATTTACTTTAGCATTGCTTGTATTTTTGTGGTATTTTTGTTTAGCTTTGTTTTCACGCAAATTCTTGAAACGCGTAATAATAAAAACGCGTAGTAATAAAAACGTGGTCAGTTAATCAGAAAAATTTATTATATGCGTGGACAAACAAGGGGTGCGGCCGCACGCCTTTCCTGGGAATGCCTGATATATATAAGATTCTATTAATCGCAAATTTTTATTTGTGATTAATAGAATCTTAATTTCAAGTATAAAACTAGTTTAATATTTGAAATTTATCAGTGGTAAATTATGAATATAAAAAATTTTTTTGGCATTTGTTGATAGCAAACAATTCCGCTTTTCCCCATAAATTATACCTGCTTCCAAAAATAGCCGCTCAATATACACTACTACATGGAGATAATAAGTATATTCTAGCAAACTCTGCTAGGCTTGGATATTATTTTGCATTAGCTGACCACCACTGGTAAGGGTCTGCCATCTGATCTGTGTGCATGTTTTCTGTAGCAACTTTCTCAAAACAATTCCAGAAACTATTGTGTATCTCAATTGTTTTATCATTTACATTGACATTTTTTTTTTCTAAAGTGGAGATGAGTCATTATCAGTGCTACTAAAAATTTTAAACTTTTTTTCAGAGTATCTAAAAGAATTTTTGTTTTGCTCTTTGTGTTTTTACTATACCCAAGAAATCAAAAAAAGTTGCAACCAGATATTTGTCCTTTTCATTAAAGTTGAACCACGCTTCAAGTTCAAATTGAAGCAAAGATCTCATTGCTGATAAATTTGGTGTTCTCTGTGCTGTTTTCCTTTCCAGGTATTTTAACAATGTGACGATATGTGGAATTATCTCAGAAATGCAAAAAATATCCGAGCTGGTTATTTTTGTAATTTCTTCAAGTGGTTTGAGAAAATTGATACATTGCCCATTGAGCAGGTGTAAAATTGTTTAAAAGACCATGATCAGTTATATACAACGAGACAGCTTGCTTTAGCTCTAATAATTGCTCCAATAAATACCAGGTTGAATTCCAGCGTGTGCTTACATCTTGTACTAATTGTTGGTCTGACAGTTTAAGTTCTAAATTAATGAATTTTTGTTTTTCTTGTGCTATACTAAAGTGGTTAAAATGGGTGAAGATTCATCTTGCAGCAGCTATTATCTGTGTTATTTCTATTTGAGAATTTAACGATACATTGACAGTTGTAGACGATAAATAAAATACTTGGCAAAATCATATTCTGCATCTCATACACCTTTTATCATATTATTAATACTAGCTTCAATTTTAGTACGAATCCTATAAAATATATCGAGGATAATTTTCTCAGTCATGCAGGTGCAACAAGGTATTTTGTATGGTAGTACTGCCTTTTCCATAAGCTTGTTGAAGGCAACTTGTTCAACAAGTGATAATGGTTTGTTGTCTAAGGCAATTATTTCTCCATTTAAATAATCATATTTTATTGATTTTGGATCATTAAATTCCAACACCATTTCCTTTAAGCTGTCTCTATAAGAGTTAACTGTTTCTTTTTTATTATACCTGTTATTGCTGGTATAAGTTAGTAAACCGTCACTTTTGCTTCCTCTTACTGGCAGAGTTTAAGTTAACTTGGCGTACTGCTCAGAATGTTTTGAAGGTTTTTCAGAGAAGCTGAAAACAAAAAAGAGTACTTAAACTTAACTTAGAGTAAACAAAGTACCTAAAAAATTTTCCAGATTAAATAATTTGTTTTATTAAAACATATTTATAATATACGTATTAGTTTTACTTACTTGCTTTCCTTTCTTCTCCACCACTCATGATCTTGATTTTACACAGCAAACAAACTGCTAGTTTATTGTCTTCCCTACAAATTTCATAATATTTCCAAATAAGTGATTTTTTATCAAAAGATGCCATTTTTAAAGGTTTTTGATAACAAAAATTTGAAATAACACAACTTTTGCTACTTATTGTAGTTTTTTGCAAGCAACAGTCGACAATAAAATACGAAGTCTTTTATGTTCACTAAGTTGACTTTTCAATTTAAATGGCTTTTAAAGGAGAATTAATTGTTAATGTATTTATACAGTTTTTAATAAAAATACTTGAAGTCTGTAATTTAAAATAAACTATCAAATAGTTCAATTCATTTATTTACAAGTTCTAGCAACAATTTATATTATAAAAACATTAACTACTATTATAAACTATATAACTACTAATATAAACAAACAATGCAATTACCAATAAATTCTCTAAAGCTTTAGCAAACAACCTAATTACCACTACATGCTCTGAACTGTAGAATTATACTTTTTGTGCATGTATCTTACATAACGGGTTGTAAGAAATACAACCTGTAAGAAAAAAAGTTTTAAGTAATAAATAGCTAAACACGCAAATAAAACAAATATGCGTAATTACCCGTAGCGTGACTACAGTATTAACTTTACTAATTAAGGTTGTAGACTGTCACCTGTATATTTCCAATATGAAAAATATATAACTAATATATTTATGTATTTTTCCGCGGTAAACTCGAAAACTGTAATGTATAGCAAAAAAGTAAAAAATTAACTTTTTTTAATTCAATTGGTGAGCAATCTTGGCGAAAAATAAATTTATAAAGGAGTTACAGTTGTTTTAGTAAATAAAAAAACATTTTAAATAGTTGAAAAAAAACTATATTGCACTTTTATTTGACGTCATTAAACAGTTTTTTGTACCATTTCATTTTGATATAAAAAACGTCAAATAAAATTGTGTATATAGCTACTGATTTTACATTTTATTTTACATTGTACTTTACATTATATTTTACATTGTATTTTATATCATATTTTACGTTATGTTTTACATTATATTTTATGTTATATTTTACTTTATTCTAAATTATATTTTATACATAATGGCCGGGTATTCAGTTGGCATTGTAGAAGCTTGTCAGGATGTTACATAGGGGGCTATGTAAGGTATGCCGCAGGCATTTTAGTAGTTGTCTAACAGGCAATGCAACTTGCAATTTAGCGTGTAGTTAACCTGCAGGCTTTGTAACAACTATGAGCAGGCTATGAGTTAGTTATGTAGCGGGCTATGTATATCAACTTATGTCCTAGAAACAATAAAACACAATTAAAACTAATAAAAAACATTAACAAATTCTTTCAGTGATTGCGGGGACTATCCTACTAGTATATATATATATATATATATATATATATATATATATATATATATATATATATATATATATATATATATATATATATATATATATATATATATCCAATATGAAAAATATATAACTAATATATTTATGTATAATATGAAATATAAAAGTTAAAAACTTTCAAACCTAGTGTAACCACCATTAGTTCCTACATAAAGTGATCTAAAAAAATTTTCATCATTTTTTTTATCTGAACATTTGTTCAAACTCTCTAGAATTCTTTTATGTGCTATGCCAGCTGTAGTTATCAAGTTATTAAATAAATCATGGTTACATTCTTTTTTCACTATATCCAAACTTTTTGATGATAAACAAGAATAAACCTGGCTAGCTGTTGGATAACTTGTTTCATTACAAATGTTGCAAAACATCAAAGCAGCTATTTGCACGTAAGTAAAATAATGATGACTGCAGCTGAAATCAACTATTTCATTTAAAGCATTTAATCCATTTTGTATTATATCGACTGTTACTTTTTGTTGGTTAACAGCCATGTAGTTGATTTCATAATCGCTTATTGCTAAAGCCAAACTCAGTATTGTGTTATTGATTGGATAAAAAAAATATGTGAAGTTGTGTAACGCAATTCTATTATTATCATCATACAACCAGTATGATGAAAAACTCATGTTGCCACTATTCCTATTTAACATTTTTATTTTTAATGCAATCGAGTCATTTTTATCAACACTATATTCCAAATCTTCAAAGTAAACATTTGCTGATGCAGAAAGATACCCAGTTTGATCTCGAAACTTAGGGTGAAGTATTATAAACCCATTATTGTTAATAATAATAGCATGACTGAGATAACCCAACTCTTTAAATGAAACCTTTTTTTTCAACGAATTTATAAGCATATCAACTCCAACTACACCAGAGAGATTATTTTTGTTGAAGACTCCCATTGACATGGTTAACACCATACCTGCTCCTGAACTGTCTAAGTAAATTGGAGATATTTTTGGTTTTATCTTGACACTATTTGCTGCTAATGGTCGACTTAAAACTTTTAAATACTCTACAACAACATCCCAAACATTTCCTATAGTTTCAATTTTATAAAAATAACCCCTGTTGTTGCATGACATTTCTTTGAGAGCACGATCATCTGGATTTTTCACTCTTCCAACAAGATAAGAAAAAACTCGTACTGATTTGTCTGCATTCATTTTATCAAAAACATTTCCTGCTGTAGAGCTGTAATCTCCCTCAATGCCATCACTTATTATCATAATAACTTTGTTACAACCAGCTGTATATGTTGTATTATCTAAAGATTAACAAATATGAACTGTATGATTGTTGTAAAAACACTTGCAAGGCGTTTTACATGTTGTTGTTTTATAATATTTATTATTAAAACATTTTTGCTTTAAAATATATTTAAATGACTTTAAAATTCAAAGTAACTAGGGTTTAAAAAAAAAAAAAAAAAGAGAAGAATAACAAAGAAAAAAATATCTTCAATTAAAGATATTTTTTCAATTATATTTATATTTTTTGAAGTAACAGTTTTATAAATAGTATTTAAAATCCAATAGTATTTAATGCATAAGTATATACATAATATAATCAAAAACATATGTTTAAATATAATAATAAATTAATAAAATATGTGCTCATTTTTATAAAAAAATAAAAACAACCTTTACAAAACACGAGCCTCTTTATCAATAAGTCTCATAGGAGTCATCGAAAAAACCTTTAAATCACCCCCCCCTCCCTCCCTAGTGCATGACATTAATAATATTTTATTTTTTAAAGTGCTATGCAGTTATAATATAATATCATTAATCATTTTAAAGACTTACAATAACTCTTTTTTTTCCCCACTAAAATCTCTCTTTCTTTTTCCAGTAAATACTTTTAGCAAATTTTATCTGATTATTTAATTTGAACTAACATTAAAAGATTCTGTTTTAGTTTATAAAAGGATTGTCAATGAGTAAAGGTTTTTGTAGAGGCTTATATAACTAGCATACAGCAGTGGAGGGGGGGAGGGGGAGGAGGAGGCAGAACCGACAATTCCTAAAAAAAGTTGTCTATATCTAGAATTTTCTTTTTTTTTTTTTAAGAAAAAGGTAATTTTAAAAAAAGTAGGGGGGGAGGGAGCACATGCACCCTGGCCCCCCGGTATTGTTGGCCCTGTACAGTCATTAATTGTTATATTTTTATTATACCTTTAAGTGAATCAAATGCACTGCTAATTGCTTTTGAAATATCTAAAATATCTTTTGGTTCATCAATATTATTAATTGCCAGTTTCATTCTTTCCTTGTTAAATTTTGTTGCTTGCATTAGTTTTTTAATTTCATTTTTGCTTTCATCATTTAGAATAAACTTTGCAGTCTTTGATACAGTCATCATGTTGAAATAATCATTTTCTTCCAAAGTATCAATCAAGGTCTTGGCTGCAATTTTAGCAATAGCTAAAAATATGTATAATAAATAAAAATAAGAAAAATAGATATAATAAAAGTAAATGAATATTGAAAATAAAAACTGCACAAAATTTTAATATACAATAAACTACTTTATCGGGTACCTAATATTCATAAAAATGCAAAAAATATTTTTACCACTATTTTGAGTAATAGTAACAATAAGTTATTGATAATTTAAAATTCGACAAAATTAACAAGCATAATTAAATAACCAGTATCAAAGTTTGAACCCCCAAAACAAGAACCATAGCAACAAAGCACATGGAAACAAGTTTAGTGCAGTACTACCCAAGAATGGTAGCTTGCAAAGTGAGTGTTCTTTGACTAAATTTTATAAGTATCACTTATAAAAAACAATATAAAGTGAGTGAACCGAGTAGAAACAAATAGAAATTGTATTTTTAAGTTTATAAGTTTTAATAATTCTTTTAACCATTTTTAAAATTAATTGTGTAATTAAATTACCAATATGACTCACAAAGCAGTTTAAGAAGTATGGGTAACAATGCTCTATATAAAATATTTTTAATTTAAATGAAATATAAAAAAAATTGCTAAATAAATATATATATAAAATAATAATATATATAAATAAACACATAATAATTATGCTTATTAGATAAAAAGTATTTTTTCCACTTAAGTTGTTAAAAACAGGCTTTTATAATTCATTAAAAGATTTTTAGTTACAAAATGTAATAAAAATAGATTACAACATTATTAAACCTAAAACAAAATATGAATCGCTAACTTAAAAAAGGGGACATGTTATGTGAATTTTTGCAGGACATGCCTCCTTTTTCAAGTTATTCGTATATAGTTAGTTTTAGTGTTATCTATTAAAAACCATAATAACTATTAATAAATAAAAATAACTATTAAATGAACTTACTTTCTAGCTTCTAACCCATAAGCAAGCATTAAACACAGCAACAAAATATAGCCTAAGCTAACTTGTTAAACTTCAAAAGCAAAAGATTAAGCACAATACTTGCAGGTAATACTTGCAGAGCAATATGCATAAAGATCTTTTGGTGTTATGTCATACATACATTAGGCATCTTTTTTGTGTTAATTGTTGTTTCAAAATAAATATTTGGCCAACTTTAACAATTTCCAATTTTTTAGATTTTTAAGATAAAGTTTTTATTAGAAGTTTTCAAGTTATAAAAAGTGAAATAAATAAAAAATTATTAACTGGTGAAACTAAAATATTTTGGAAACCTGGTGAAACTTGGTGTACTTGTGGTTCATTTCATATCAAATAACCTAATGGCCCACAGAGTACCACCTCAGATTTGCTTCAAACTTTGACTACCCTCAAATTTTATGGAAAAAAAGTCTTGAAAATAAGTCTTGTGATTGAATTAATATTGACCATACTGAATGGGAAATTTAAATTTCTGGAGTTTACAGTAAATTTTTTTGATATTTGACAAACCATAACTTTGTAAATAAATGAGGTGGTCACCTGATTATTTAGTATATATTTTGTTTAGTTAATTTAATACTTGCAGCATTCTGTTAAAAAATTATAATATACATATATATATATATATATATATATATATATATATATATATATATATATATATATATATATATATATATATATATATATATATATATATATATATATATATATATATATATATATATATATGTATAATATGTATATATATATGTATAATATGTATATATATATATATGTATATATGTGTGTGTATATATATATATATATATATATATATATATACAAATTTTTGAAATAAAATTTAAACAAATAATTTTCACCAATATTAACATATATTCATATATGTTTAGTTAAAACGAACACAGGAAAAAGATAGTTCTTAAAATGCTGAGAGTAAAAAAGTACTGCAGATGGGTTTTTTTAGGCTAGCTTCTGGCGTATCTGAGTTTTACGGAACCTAATTATCCTATCAAAATATATGTTATGTTTTCCCAGTTTATTTTATTTTAGGCAAGTGAAGTTGTAGTTTTTTTTTTTTTAATATTTAGAATTTTTATCATCGTAGATCTTTGTATTTTAAATGAAATAGTTTAAATTCAATACTGCACATTTTTTTAGATAGACTTGCAGTTTTATTGAGATTTTTTCTCTTGAAAACCTTGTTAGTTTACATTATATTGCATTACTGGTTTATAAAAGTCTAATAAAGTTTTATAAAGCTAGAACTTTTTAATCCTATATATATATATATATATATATATATATATATATATATATATATATATATATATATATATATATATATATATATATATATATATATATATATATATATATATATATATATATATATATATATATATATATATATAGGATTAAAAAGTTCTAGCTTTATAAAACTTGTCTGCCAAAGAAGGAGTGCCTTTTTGAAAAGTAGATAAATAATAACCTGTAGATCTCATCAAATTTTCTTCGTTGAATTGATCGAATTTTAATGACATGCAGCGCGTGGAATTTTTAAATTAAATAATAGCCCGAAATATCATATTGCGTTTGATTTAACCACCTTTAAATAAGTATAAGCGAAGTTTTAATTTTTTATATCAAGTTTAAAAAGAATATGTTTACCTTAATATTTAATATATTAAAGACATTATTATACTATATTACTATAACAAACTTGTTTTCTTGCCGTTTTTTTATTATTGATAAAAATAGTTTCAATTTCAAATCAACGAATAAAATTTTATTTTAAAGAATTAAAAATCTTGCCGGTTAAAAAAATGTCCGATGTCCGACTGTTAAATTAAGAACTGTATATATATATATATATATATATATATATATATATATATATATATATATATATATATATATATATATATATATATATATATATATATATATATATATATATATTGACTTAGCAGACAGAAAATAACATAAACAGTTAAAATAAATTCTGAAACTTTTTTTTATATATAGACAACCACCAGAAAAATTTAAGATCTCTATGGCATTATTGTAGCTTTTTGAGTGTGATGTTTTTTTAGCTTAAAAAGAGAAAAATAACACTTTGGATTTATTATATACCAAAAAAATAAAAAGATAAAAAGTAAAACACTAAAAAAAACTGAAATGAAATAAAAAAAAATTAAAAAAACTGAAAGTGTATATACACAAAAACACCAAGTTGTTTATCTCTGATTTACATAACTTATAATACTATAATAGGTGCAGATTTATAATTTTCCAATTCTTTAACTCTTTTTATTAATTCATCAAATCTCTTAACTCTTTTTGTATCAAGTTGTGCTTTGTAAGTGTTAAATTCTGTGTTTCGAACACTTACCATTCTCTTTTTACCTCAAAAAGTTTTATCAACAATAATTGAAGGTGCTTAAAAAAAAAGAAATAAAGTTGTTAAAAAAAAAGGAGACTTCAGTCTACAGCCTTCAATCTTTCCAATGTCTTAAAAGGTTTAAAAATTTGTATGTAGGAATTGGAAAGGTATAGACATGGATTTGAAAATTAAAAAAAAAAAATAGTGCAGCTAAAAAATGGGCCACCAAATCTGAATTTTCTAAAACTCATCAGACATTTCCATTTTAAAGAACTTTGAAAAAAGGCATAACAAACAAGCATAACAAATGTATCTTTGGTTTATAAACAAATGCATCTTTGGCTTATAAACAAATGTATCTTTGGCTTATAAACAAACGCATCTTTGGCTTATAAACAAATGCATCTTTGGCTTATAAACAAATGCATCTTTAGCTTATAAACAAATGCATCTTTGGCTTATAAACAAATGCATCTTTGGCTTATAAACAAATGCATAATTGGCAATCAAAAAAATAAAAATTTTAGTTTTACTACGTTTACTTTTTTTTTATTTTTCCATTTGTAAATATTTTTCTATTTTTAAGGTGTTTTTTCTTCCATGTTTTTTTTCTTTGAGCTAAGCTTATTTACAACTGTAAATAGCAAGTACTTTAAACATAAACTGTCGTTCAAACTTTTGTCAAAAACTTTTTAACAAATTTTTTATGTAAACACTGTTCAAACTTTTATGAACTTTTTAAAACATGAATTACTTCATATATTAAAACAATTAAAAGTTAAATTATTTTTAAACTTGTTATTTTAGTTTTAGTTTCGGTCACAACATATATTGCACAACATATTGCACAACATATTGCACACAATTAAAGTAGTGGTAATAATGCACACCATTGCAGTGGTGCCAATATTAAAAAAATATTTCTGTACTACAGAATTTTATATTGGTCAACACTAATTTCTGATTTAGTTGACTAATATAAAAATTTATTTTCAAAAACTCTGTAAAATTAAAGAATTTCAACTTTTGAAAAGTCTAAAGTTCTAAAATAGAAGCAATATTCAGTTACTAAGGAAACATTTTGCAACCTCGCTATTGCACAAACTTACTAAAATATTATTACAGTAAAGAAAAAAATCAAAAAAAAGAACAAAAAAACTAAATTTTATTTAAATATTATCAATTATCAATTTAAAAAAAAAATTATAAAAAATTTTTTCCTTAAGAAATAAAAAATAAAACCATAAAAACATTCGAAACCAAAAATTAGGTAAGCATCTAATTAATTATTTTAACATGAGTCCACAATTGTGCGATTTGGACAAATATCCATAGTGGCATTTTCTCATTTGAATAAGACATTCAGATAAATAAGACAATAAGAATTAAATTTTAAAACCAGATATACTTCTAAACAAGTTAACATGTTTAGCAAATCAGGATTAGGCATAACTTAACTTTATGTGCTTCATTTTTTTCTACATACTATTAAATTTAAGTTTTTACATTAGAGTTTTCATATCTTCCTATATAAACCGTCTTCACAGCAGCAAGCCTTGTCTTTCAAATATATAATTAATTTAACACCTTAGCTAAGGAAAATCTATGAATAAACTCTATGTAGTTTAAAGTTAAATTTATTGACTTAAAAATACCTCCTTAGAAATATCTATTGCTACCTATTATAGAATGTAAATCTAACATTACATGTATGAAACATGATGTTATGAACATATATGGAACATGAACATAACAACATTAAATCTCAACAATTATTCTAAGAACAATTTCCTACTTTTTTAAAAGCAAAGAACAACTATAAACAAATAAGCTTAACATGTTTATACCAATATTGTTTCCAATCATAGAACCAGAGACATCAAGGATGATGACAATATCTTTTGGACTTGCTGAACTAATTTGATACCATACGCGACGTCTGCAATCATACAGATCAATGTAGTTAGGATCATCTTTTTTGAAACCATTTAAGTTTCCAGGAAACATACGAAAAAGACCTAAAATTAAAAAAATAATGACAGATAATGAATTAAAACATAGGTAATGAATAGTATTTAAGAATAAATGGTATTAAAAACAGTGTGTAATAAGAAAGTTACACAATTATTATAAGAAATAATTAATGCAGTTCACAATCAAATAATTTAAACAATAGTTATCATTAAAAAATTTAGTTTGAATGTGCAAATGGGGGTCAAAATACCATCTTATCTAATCATCATTATACTAAGAGAAAGAGATATAAAAATGCTGAGAATTTTCAAAAATATCAAGCTATTGCACATTGTTATTGAAGAGAACCCTCATGCAACACATGATACAATTGAAGCTGTTAATTTACAATCAATTATATTTTTCACAACTCTCTTAAAAAAAGAAAACAAGCATCACATTGAATACCCTCCTAAATTAACCAATCAAAAGAATAGAGTTGAGATATATAACAAACATTTACCCCAGAACAATCTATGAAGACTAATATTGTTACAGGGAATAAGTTGTGATTTTATTTGAAACAAATCTGATAAGTTGATGAATGTGAATATACAAGAACTGTAGTAAGACATGCCAGATTTGTAATAAAAACATGTTAATAAAAACTTCAAAATAGCAAGTGTCATTCATTTAGGATATATGCTGAAAAGGAGCATTATTGGTCAGTACTATGTCAGAAATTGTTTAAAACCTGTTATACTCGAAATAAATCAGCAAAGATTGTAAAAGTGATTCAAAATTTATTATTTATTAATTCAAAAAAATATTTAAATTGATAAAATGATAACACTTTACTCTAACACAAAAAAATGTTAGTTCAACATCTTGCTATGACTTGAGTTTTACTTAAGTAAAATAATAATTAAAAACTTAAGAATCTTGCTTCGACTTCGACGAAAGTTTTACTCAAGTAAAATATACACTGCTTGTATTTAAATGAAAATTTAACTTTAATTTTAATTTAAGTTTAATTCAACGTTCTTTTCAAAAAATGGCATTTAAACCAGAAAAAATCACAGTTTTTGGTTTTTTTAAAATCCTAATGCTATATATATATATATATATATATATATATATATATATATATATATATATATATATATATATATCAACCCTCGGAATTAGGGTTGGCATTCGGCAATGCTGGCCTAACTGCCGACCTGAAAGTATTTGAGGTCAGCAAAAAATTACCGATCTCATTTCTTTGTTTTATGGTAAGACCTTTGTATCAAATTTTTTTTTGGCGACTTCTAAAAGATTTAGGTTGGCAAATTATTGCCGATCTCATTTTTCCTAATTTGGAGGGTTGATATATATATGCCCAAAGAAATACCTTTATGAAGCTTAATTAACCTGATAAAAAAATAGCCATCTGTGGGGCTTCATTATGAAATGAGGGTACATTCTACATGAAAGTAATTTTTACAAAGTAAAAAAAAATATATATACCTGAATATGCACATGCATATATATATATAAAATATATCTATACTATTAATATCATATATATATATATATATTATATATATATATATATATATATATACATATATAAATACACAGTGGTGTAACGAGAAATTTTGCGCCCGGGGCTAAAAACTTGTATGTACATTACCAGAATTGAATCAGAGTTTGCACTGTTGTTTGAAAATTTGATACCTGTTATTAAAATTAGATCTATTTAGTGAGGCAACATTGGATTTTTCTTTATCCCACATGAAGCCCAGATGATTAAGTTTTTCATTTGGTATTATTTGATGGTCGTCAGGGTTATCTTGCACTTAATTACTTATTGTTTTTCGGAGAGCAAAAGTTCCGTTTTGACAGCATAGAGGTTTATGCATATTTATAAGCAACAATACCTGTGATGTTTCCATGTATAGAAGTAAGGACAAAGTTATCATTTTTTATAGTTTCAAGTAATTTTTGTGTGTATACAGTTGACTCTCAATATCTCGACTACTCAATATTTTGAACTTTAGTGTATCTCCAACTTTATTTCTGATCCCTTGCGCACACGATTGAGCCAAAATCCTCTCAATATCTTTAACTCTCGATTTTTCAAACTCTTTTACCGGTCCCCTGAGAGTTGGAGATATTGAGAATCAACTGTATATTATACAAGTGGGGCAACAAAATCGATCCAAAATTGGAGCCAAGGTAAGAGACAGTTGCGCTACTGTTGTGATATAAAGAAATACAATGTTAACTCTGTGAAGTGGCACGTTTTAATCAAAGTAAAGTTTATCAAAGAGAAGATTTCTGTTGCAACTGTCAAAAGCTTTTTCGGCATCAAGCAAACATAAGTTAACAGGCAAATCGTTGTTTGAAATACGGAAATGCAGAGATACAAACTTTTATATATATATTTATTATTATTTTATTTATCACCCTCTGTAAAATATATTTACAAGGTAAAAATACAAATTAAGAAAAAAGAGAGATAAAAAAAGTATCATTTAGGAATGCTTTCTTCAAGTGTGTTTTTAAAAAATGTTTCACATTCCAACATTGAACTGCCTGTACCAAAATATGAAGAATAGCTTCAGGAATTCTCTGAGCCTCTAAGTTTTACTTTTTTTAACCAGCATTTTTTCATATTCAGTTTATGAATATCACATAATTCTTTTATACCATCTTAAACATTTTACTATACTTGGAGACATTAAAAAGCAATTTTATTGTTGACTGTTTTATTTCACAGAGCTCTAGCCCGTGGAACTGCAAATGATTTATATAATTGGATAATAGACCTTGGATGTGCAAACCAGATTAAATCAGAGTGTGCAATGTCGCCTGGAAATTTGATACCCTACTATCAATATTCATTCTATTAAGTGTAGCAAAAAATGATGATAAAACTATACTCTATATACGCAAATAGGTGTCTAGTCTCTCTATAAACAAAATGTCAAGGTGAATACTTCAAATTAATGTGACACTAGTTTTGAGTGGAAGGAGCCTCAATTTTCGAAGAAAATTATGTAGAATTAAAAAATAAAGCAAGTGAACCAAAACTTTTGACCAGTAGTGTATATGATTAATATGTTTTTATGAAATATTTATACATAGACATGTATAAATATTTCATAAAAACAAAAAAATTTTGTTTTTATGAAATTTTTTGCAAAAGAAAAAAATTAAAAATGATTATATAATCATCAGTGTTGTAGGAAATCAACAGAAATTTGTTTTTGTGTCTGCACATAAAGACCATCTTGCCTGTTTGGTAAATAAGTTAGCGTCTTTATAAAATAAAATTTCAAGTTTTTTATTTAAATATAGATGATAAATTTTCAAAACCAGGTTGTATAGCAGGCAAAGCCTAATAACTTTCCATTTAATTGCCTAATAACGCCTATATAATAAAGTCTAATAACTTTCCATTCCACAAAGCCTAATAATAATAAAGCCTAATAACTTTCCATTTAATTAATCCATAAAAAAAGTTTTCATTTTAAATGTCTTAAAATCATTTAAAACTAAAAAACACTAAAAAAGCCAATATATACTTTGTCTTAGTATTCAGGTTTTTAAAAATATATTGCTGCTTGGTATTCAATGTTAATAGATAGACATTGGTTGGTCAATGGGCAGGCAGATTTATTAATGCAATTGCAGTTTCTTTTTACTATATTATTATAATTATATGAAATACTTTTATCGTGCAAAGCAATTATGGTTTTGATGTTTGGCATAAAAAAATCAAAGATATTAATTGAATTTTTGTTAAATATTTTATGCAGACTGTGTTTGACGTGGAAATATTAATCAACTAGGGTTAGATGGTAATTACCAATTTTTGAGGTGATATTTTTGCTTAATGGTGGGTTGTATCATATGATCTTGCACTTTTTTTCAGGGTTGGTTTTTTGTTTGGTTGGTACGTGAGCCTACAGATTTATACAGATTTTATGAATGCATCATTATAAGCAAGAATGAAATTCTTTACATAATGCAACTGGGGTTAAAATTTAAGCTGGAGCCAGATTTGATAAAAATTGCCATATTTGATAAAGATTGATGCATCCTAAAGTATTTTTTTTATTCGAAATCCATGTTGTAATTTATATATATGCATATAGATTTGTATGATGTATAAACATCATCATCACCATCATGATCATCATTATCATGATCATGATCATCATCATGATCATGATGATAATGATGATGATGATTATCATCATCATCATGATCATGATCATCATCATTATTATCATCATCAACCTTAAGTTTCGCTTTCTTCTGCAAGTTTTCTTACTTGTACCTATACTATTTTCTCCTAAAGCTGCTACTTCTCTAAATGCTGATACCCAAACCACTTAAATCTTCTACGACAAACATTGTTACATCATTTTTTTCTGATATCTGTCTAAAATTATCCTTTTCTTGTCTTGTTATTTAGTCATACTACACATCCATCTGATCATCATCTGATCACATCCATCTGTTTCTTCGGCATATACTACATCATATAAATAGTTTATATAAATATGCAATGATATTGTATGCCAGCATCTAAATACATAGAAAACATATATGTTTACATTCATAAATATCCATATTAAGTATGCCTAAATGCTACTCTACCCTAACCTGCTAGATCCAATCGGGTATGGAAATTTTTACTCCTTCTTGCTAGTTTTAAGTCAAGCCTCATTCTAATATTTTTCACCTTATTGTACAGTTGTAATATTAAACAGTGATCATTTTTTTCATCTTTTTTACAAAACCATCTTGAAAACAAATGTCTTTTTTTTATTTTAAGAAGTTAATGTAAAAAGTCTGGTGCTCAGTTCAGCTATTCTTAGTTTACTAAATCTTGAGTAATACTGTAAAATGATCAAATGTTTCCAATTTTAAAAAATCTTGAACATTCAAAGTTAGAAACAGTGATTTCTTATTGACTTTTTTTTTTATGCAGTACAACCAAAGCCTTGTCCAATTTCTTTTTATTTCTATTTCATGCTCCTTACGCTTTTGCTTACAGTCATTTCTT